TAGAGAACATATTTAAGATATTTTTGTTTTGTGTTTTGATTTTTAACTTTTAAAACAAAACAAAAAATACATGTTTCATTAACTATTATATAAAACAAATTTATTTATTTTTTTGAAAAGAACACAATTAAACAAGCCCCTAATCCTTGGGACATACTCTGTTAATCAAATTTTCACCCCTTGGAATTAAAGATAAGCTTTTGTTAATTAAGAGATAATTGACTAAAATATTTAATCACTCTCAGACAACGTGCATTCTAATTTAATATATAAAGTTGAATTTTAAATTAGTCATTTAATAATTAAATGCCATCAATTCCGTTCCCTTAAAATTATAATTTAATATATATATATATATATATATATACAAATAAATGACCAATCTAATAACCCATGTATTAATAGAAGACCAGAACAAATATTTTATTTGATCTTTTATCTGTGTCCCTTACTTTTTAATAAAATATTTTGTTAAACAAACTAGAAAATAATGAGAAATAACTAAAGAAAAAGATGTATTTTTTATTACTTAGTTAACAACATCATATTAAGAACAGAAATAGAGATAGACAAATGATAAAAGATTCGAGTCCAAAACTTGGGTTTTGGGAACTGTTTAGGGTTCTATTGCATGGTGCCCACCAAAGTTAGGCTACCTAATCGATCATATTAGGAATTTGTTCAAAGTTGTGCATTCCTGCACCTTCTGCTCATAGGAGACTAAAAAATTGCTCACTTTCGGCTAAATATACTTCACAAAGACAAGTATGTAGACAAAACCTCCTATACAACAAATAGGGTATTAATTGCAAGCTAAAGAGAGTCAGAGATATGAAATGAATATAAAAAATTTGGTCAAGGGATTGTATAAACTGCGACTGTTTGGTACGAAGATTTTTATAAAAATTCTGAAAATGTGGGGTGGGTCAAAAAAAATTTCAAGTTTGGTACGAGGAAACTGAAAATATTTTTGGGAAACTTTTTTTCCCATCATTTCAGTTTTAAATACAAAATCTCAAACCAAAATATCATATGATAGATGGGATTTTTATTTTCCCAAAGCATCGGTAAATTAGCCCAACATTTTTGAAAAAAATTTATACCTGCCAAACACTGTTTCGCAACTTTTTCGGGAAAAAAAAATTTCTATCATATTCTCGGAAATCTTTTTTACCCGGTAAAACAAATATCTCTTCTACCAAATGTCTCCTAAGAGAAAAATATTTGTGCAGTTGCTGCAAAAAAAATTATCTGCCACACATTATGTACTTCGGGGAGTAGGTAGTGTAACTTTTGAAATGAATTCTATTTTTGTTTAGATTTCAAAAGATATACGAAGTATTTCCCGAAGTACATAGTGTGTGGCAGAAAAATTTTCTGTAGTAATTGCAAAAAAATTAAATCCAAACTATAATATCATATTTAAAATCTAAAATAATAGGATATTTGTAATTCAAATGTGTACTAGACAAATATTTGGAATAGCGATAAATTTATGCTAACAAGTTTTTTAGTTTAAAAGAAAATATAAAATAGATGTGGATAAAAAAAATTAGAGAGAACAATTTACATATCTAGATCTTATTATACTCATTATTAATTATTAAACCTTAGATCTATTATTTGTTGATAAAAGAGAAAGGGAAATTCGACATTGTTTTGTCCTTACTTTCCTTTTCGAAAACATACAAAATTACTCATAACATAAGAAGCCCTTTATTGTTATAAAAAAAAGAAAAAAAGAAGCCCTTTATCGATATTAAAACTTTAAAGGGAAAAGTTCACCAATGTCCCTGTGGTTTGCTTCAGAATCATTTATGCCCCTGTGGCTTTTTTCCTATCACATATGCTCCTGTGCTTTGTAAAAAATAAGAAACCATAGGGGTATATGTGATAAAAAAACATACTCTTTTACAAAGCACAGGGGCATATGTGATAAAAAAAATCACAGGGACATAAATGATTCTGAAGTAAATCACAGGGGCATTGGTGAACTTTTACCAACTTTAAAATGGTAAAGAACTAATTACCAAAAAAAAATGGTAAAGAACTGTGTAACCGATATGGAGGGGGGTTCATGAAATGATGCGTGGCCCAAGGCAAGGCCTTGATGAACCTACAAGGTAGTGAAGGTGTACACATGTTAAGATGGGAACCACCTTGGTCCTTTGAACTATTTTTCGGCTATCGTATTTTGAATTTCTAACTAAAAAATAGACAAGGAGCTAACAAAAAGTTCTTTAAGCAGAGAGCCATTTTTTAAGACCACATTAATTATTGATACTAGAGTTGCTGCAGCTGATTAATTTAGTGTTAGGTTATAATTGCATGTTAGTGCGACCCAGCAAGAGTACTTAATAATATTGAATCAATGATACATGAACGAAAGTTGTTCTTAATTGAAGTAGAGACGTCATTTCATGGAGTAAGTGCTGGCTGAAAGATTCAAAGGATATGTTCAAGCAAAGTCATTATACTCCAAAACAAAGTTTGAGATAACTTTTTGATCCCATCTCGTATGTTTGCTCAAAAATAGTAGGGAAAAGTCAAAGCGTGTCTTTGTTCGTATCTCTCTCTCTCTCTCTCTCTCTCTCTCTCTCTCTCTCTCTCTCCGGCCCCCCTACCCCTATATAAGAAAAGCAAAAATAAAGTAAGAGAAATAATATCCTACTAATAATTTAAAGGAGTTGGAAGTATCATTTTGAAAGACTAAGTTATATTTACAAATTCTTATAAATTACATTATGTATTATGAATAGTATATGCTCAAGTGGTATGTACCATTCATAATATATAGTATAATTTATAAAAGTTTATAAATAAAAAATTTATAAATATAATCTTTCTCCAAGTTCAATATATCATATGCAGTACTAATGGTATAATTCACATAAATCCATTCCAGCATCATGTACATTTAGAGTATGTAAATATAAAATGAGAATAATATTTTTATCTTCTCTTTATTATGGGACCTCTCACTTTTGAATATTTTTCCCAAACAAAAGTAAGCTGTGGTTTGTGCAAACTAGAAGGAGTATTACTTCAGGATTTTAATTTTAATTTTAATTAACCTATACTCCTTTAAACAATTTCACAATATTTTAATTTTATAATCTCCGATTTCCTAATTAATTTTTATTTCCTAAAAAATTTAAATTTATCCAATAAATTTTAAGATAATTGAAGAGAAGTCTAATCTGTGCGTGCCCATCTAGTCTTCCTTTCAACACGTACCATTTGCACCAATTATAAATGAATGTTCAATTCACATCTCTAACTTGAGAAATGTGTAGATACTGAAGCCTAAAATTTTGTATACACATGCATGTATACTTTCTCTGACCACTTTTTGAAAATTATTCATAGAATTGTGATATATTCAAATTGAAGGCAATTTGAGAAAATGCTTTGTTGTATTGTCAGGTGTCAAATATGATGATTTTATTATGTTGTCAAGTGGGTAACTTAGTAGTTCTCCTCTATCAAGCAGGTACTGTCAGCACAAAGACAATATTTTCATCACTTTTTGTTTTGTGTTAACATAAAAGTTAACGTACTAACTCTTTTATTGTAGATTGGTAGATTGTTATTTTTTTTATATCAATCGATGCCAAGTTCTAACATCTTTCAACTAATTCGATTTTAAGTTTGAGTAACTTTATCTTCCCTGGAAGTTGTGACTCTTATGAATCGAACTTATTAATTATCATTTGATTAGATTGTCATTTTAAGGGTATGAAATACCATTTTTTCTTGCTGTCATGCATTTGTATGTTGTTCTTAAAAGTTCATCTTCACCGGGGCTTACATGATTATCCAAAAATAAATAAATAAATAAACAAAAACACTGATATTTACCCTATTATTCATGTGGATGCACGGAGTATAAAGCATACACATCTAAGTTGGGATAAGTCTCACCAACAAAGCCCAGTTGGTAGATAGCTGGGTTCCTTAAGCATGCTAACAGGGGTTCGATCCCTGGCCGTGCGTATGAAAAAGGCTTTGTTGGGAGAGGTTTATCCACTTAATGTGATCTCTCGCCTCGAAAGGATTAGTCTTCAGCTGTCGGCTGGAGGATACCTTGGGAAACTAAAAAAAAAAAGTTGGGATAAGTCTCACAAGACACCTCGTGATCCATTGTTCATACTAAGAGACAAAAAAAATGTTTTTTTTTTTTAGGATAAATCATATGTATCTTTTATGGGAAGTAATCCTGTTTGGAGAAGTTCCATAATTAAAATTTTAAACTTCTCTCAAAGATGTTACCGAGGAGAACCGAATATATGCTCTCACCTCACCTGTTCAGTTCACATGCATCAACTAAGCTATCATCATTTATTAAAAAAAAAAAAAGTGTTGTTTTCTATTTATTTTTTTTTGGTAGGCAAAAATGTTGTTTTCAAATCTATATTGAGAGGGCATATTCAGAAGAAAAAAGTTCACTGTAAATTCATTATATTTAATGTGACAAAAAAGTTAATTTGCCTTTTTTATTTTTAAAGATATTTTTATTTGGCCTCGACAAATTGCACAAAACTATAAACTTTTTGTTTTTACATGTGTTTCTACTTTCCGTTGCACTTGCTTCTTCTTCTTTTTTTTGTGAGAAATTATTACTTTCAGAAGCATTTAATTTTGGACCCATCCCAAATAGAATTGTTCTTCTTAAACGATACACGTGGTTTGTTAAAAAACAAAATTGTTACATGTTTTCCCTCACACTGCAGCATCTTTATTCAATCTACTCTATAATATTGTCACCTATTTTATATACCCAATTATGATTTGTTGAATATTTTATTTGCCAATGGATCAATGATGAATCTGTTATCTATGCTTTTATTAACTACCATCATATCACAAAAGCGTTGACTTGACAGAAAGGCTAATTAACATATAAGATTCCAAGATTGGAGCTAATCTAAACGCCCAGCAACCATCAAAACTTGAAAAGGAGGAAGAGAAGAAGAGATTATCAGTGACTAAAAAAGAAAATGAAGCAGAACATGATGGCTCTTCTGATTGGATCAATTGGTGCAGCACTCACTTTATTTTCTTACTCACAGACCTTCATATCACCAAGTCAATGCATCGCACTTGGCCTCCTTGTCCTCATGTTGGCCTTGCTTGTAGGAGAAGGTCTTTTATCTTTTTAAGCCCTATTTGTTTTCCTTTTCTCTTTCAGTCTCTCTTCCTCTATATCCCTGAACTCAACATTATATATGTATGTGGAATAAGGTTTTTTCTGGGAATTTTTAAAACTTTTTTTTTCTCTCCATATTTTGATTATAAATTAAATCTTAGCCTATGAAGGGTTGAAGGAAAATATATGTAATTTCTGAGCTTCCATACATTTCTCTGTCTATTGGTCACAAATATGTATACTGAGAAGCGGCAGGTTATATTTACAAACTTTTTTGTTTACAAACTCTAACAAATTACACTAAGTACGATCGGTCATACTCTAATCATGCAGTGTGCGACCGGTCGTACTTAGTGTGATTTGCAAAAAAAATTTGTAAACGGATCATATCCCTATTGAGAATTATAAAGCTTTATACTCCAAATTATGAGCGCTGCAGCTGCTCAAACAATTCAAAAAACTATTAGAATTTAGAAAAGATAATATCTTTTCTAATTCTACTTTAAAGTAAGGCTATGACAAGTTTATAGTCCTTTGCAGGTTACACAGCTATTTTTTTTTTTTTTTCTCTTTTTTTAGATTTCTTTATCAGTTTATCGATTAATTAATTAATCTAGTCGAGTCATGTAGAACTACAAACGCGATAAAGATCTCTCTACTATGTTACCAAAAAAAAAAATCTCTCTATCAAATTTTTAACACAGTTACAGGGTTCCAACTTTAGCTACACACTCTAATCCCATGATTAAATTAGGAAGTATTTGCAAGAGAAAATTGAAAACAAAAATTGTTAGTTTTACGGTTTTTTTTTTACACCCCTATCTTACCATAAAAATCAAGAGAAGGAAAACTTAGTTTATAACAATGGGGTCCAAATAAAAATTATGTTTCAGTTATACATTTCAAATTTTGCTCAACCAGATATATATATATATATATATATATATATATATATATATATATATATATATATTTATTGAGAGAGTTGCTCATAGTAAAAATTCAACTGTACTTCTTACCAAAAAAAAAAAATTCAACTGTACTCAACTTAAACTGGATTAAATCCGTTTTTATAAAAAAAAAAAAAAAAAATAATAATAATAACTTTGAGCCTTTCTCTAGGACATAGCATTGATTGTTGATAGTGTAGAGCCATGTCCAAACAGTTAACATTGAATTTATGTCTCACCATAACTGCATGAAGTTGCTGGACGCAAAGCATACTTTATTTCTAAAAATGTAACCCCGTTTTCCACAACAACTTTGAGGGAATTCTATCTCTACTCAATATATAACAACCATTAAAATTCTGTATGGTATAAGTGTATAACCGATGCTAAACATTATTAAGTGAGTAATTGCTAACTGGCTTAATTTTCTTGCCTAATGTTGTTTGTTCTCAAATCAGAAGTGAATACCAAACCACCTTGTGGTTGTGGCACAAAACCTATTGTGGTTACAATTTGCAATTGCAGTGCATCCTGTACGTTTTCAATTCAGAACTTGATCATGTCATTCAAGATGAAGGGCCTAATGATATTGCAGCTTAGCAAAAGAAACAAATAATTATGATGGATTATAACCTTTAGAAAACGTCAAGAGAATGATTCTATTTCCATGAGTTTACACATAGGTTCAATTTCTTATTTGAAGGGAAAAGAGAAGTTTTACTATTGAATGAAAGCTCATACATTTAATTAGCCATATTAACTAGAACAAAGCATTGAGATGGGGACTAAAAAAGAAGTTTCTTTTCCTCGCTGTATATATGTATATACATATGCAATAGTCATAACATGAAGCCAAAAGAAATTATACAAGTAGTCTAACTTTTCTCAGCATAGAAAAGGGTTGTCACCTAGGCTGTGTAAAGAAAACACTGCAAAGAAAAAAATTGGCAAGACAATGATATATAATGGAAATACTAGTAAAAAATATTGCACTAAGCTGATTTTTTAATTTTATTTTTTAATTTTAAGCAACAGAAAGTTAGTAACCACTTCATGAACCGATGATAGAATGCACAAGCTGAATGTTGATACCTGCAAAATCTAGCAAGTCAAATCAAAGAAATCAACCTTAAATATGTATTCCTAGCTGCACTAGTTTATATATGTTTCACTAAGTTATGTTATATTGTTATCAGCTAGCATTTATGCATCAACTAGTCTCACCATTGATCATGTCCAACATTGTGTATGGCTATATCATCAAAAAATCTAGCATGAAAGAAAGAGGCCTTTATGTAGCCAGAGACGACTTGCCGGAAAAGTAGTTAACAGTTGAGTGCTGAGGCTGCATATATACATATATATATATATATGTATAAGCATTGGAACGTGACAACATGATGAGTATGTCTTCGTAGTGCCAAAAGAAGCTTGCCGGCAAGTCATCCTTGGCTGCAATACATGACCTCATTCCCACATGCAAGACATTAGATGAAATTTGAATTACCATAAGCAGAAATAGGCTCAATAATCTGCATACAATGTAATTAGTGTGTAACCAATCAAATAGAATCCATCACTGCCATATAATTAGAGAACTAGAAGATGGCAGGAACTTTTTTTCCCAAATGAGGAAGACAACATTCCCTATTAGAATGAGGAGAAAAGACCCCTCTATTTGACAAAAAAACAAGCATGGATTCTAATAGGGGTGTCTGTGATAACTGGTAGAGAAGAAGAAGCCGATTGGACTTGAAGGGCCTTTCTTGGCAGGAAATAGACGAATGGGGTTTGAAGCACAGAAAGCCTTTGGTTAGCTTATATAAAAAAAAATTGCTTATGTTACTTGACTTGGCAATGGCAAACACAAAAGCATTTAATAGTCCTAGCATTCCTGCAGAGAGGTCAGTTCAATAACTGTCCCAATTGTTGTCCTTTATCTAAAGGAAAATGAGAAAAAGATGAGTAATGTGGAGGATTCTTAAGGTAGGATGTGACTTTGCATGGTGAAGAAACCAAGAAATATGAGAACTTCATTAGATGCATTCCTACCCCATCACACTAGCTCTTATTAGCTTCTCGGACCACCTCTCTGAGGGTCATTTAAGAGAAGAACTAGACTTAGTTCAATGAACAGCATCTCACTTGGACTTACATTATTTGTTGAATTGAAAAAAGTGCTTTGTTAATTGAGTTAGGTGGATCTTATTTACTACATTTGGTCATAAAGGTATACGGCTTAAATGTTCTGGCAAATGTATGAAACTTACCTCCAAAAAAGCTAAGAACCCCTCTTCTCCTTCCAAACTCAAAGATATTTTTGTTTGTATATGAATGTATTTGGATACCAAGCACTTCCACCCATTTATATTAGTTAGATATCGCTTTAGGGACAATTATGCTAAGTACGTTCCCATCTTGTCTTATTCCTCATCCTTATCAATTTATATGTGATGCTAATAGCTGGTTTCTCCTTTCTGTGCCTTCTTAAAAAAATGAAAGCAAATATATAAACTTGGTTTATTTTTTTATTTTATTTTTAAATGTACTGAAGAATGAAACCTTAACATAAAGTATAATGACCAAACTTTTTTTTTAATTTCTCTACCTATTCATTAATGGGTTTTATAAGAGTTATGTTGTAGGAAAAGTGATTGTGTTATGTTATAGAGATTCGTTTTGCGTGCCGAATTTTTTTTTTTTTTTTGCTGCGGGCCCCACAAAATGTTGTGTGCGTAGAAAACTTTTTGTGATCATGTTAAATGATAAGTGATAAACCCTTCATTAATTATCCAACTTAATCCGATTCGAGTATAAAGAGACCCATATAGAAGATGGCTTTAGCAAGACCGTCTCTATTTTCATAGCTCAATCTCAATACCTCTTTTTAAAGAGAACAAACCCCTTGAACCCCTCAAATTTCAAATAAAAAAAAAATTAGTTTCCATCAACTTACATTCTATTGAATTAATATTCACACCTTCCAACTTATCATGAAGTCCACGTTTTGTAGAATATTTATGAGTTTCATCTAAACTTCATTTACGATTAAAAAAAAATATGCAGCAACATCTTATTACCAGAATACATCTTCAAACAAGTATTAATAAATATATCCAATTTATCAGATAATCTCACTGTCTTAATCATAGTTGGCCAAATTATGATACCTTAGGAATTTATTATTTATCTAATGTATCTGACCAGTTGGTAACCCAGTCTTCAAATCTACTTTCTTTTTATTTTAGGGAAGATTCAGTTGAATATCCATCTTCAACAAATGATATCATCTAGTAGCATAGAAGCATGTAACGAGGATCATCTACATTTACACATACATTCAACTTACGCCAACCTAAAACCGTTTATGTATATTCCTTTCCATTTTTAACATTGTTTTAATAAAACTTTCGGTCCATAGTTTAGGATGCCAAACAACATTTTTGCCGTTGAAGGGAAGCAATCTCATTGTTAGCCTTGCCATTCAAAGATATTAATAGTTTGAATTATCAATTACCTATGTCAGTATTTGGCAAAAGAACGAGTTCTTTCTACATTCGAGTTGAGTGGATACCCTAAATCAGAATTTTATTCATCCCGAGAAAAACAAGTTAATTCCAAATGGGGCCTTTAGATGAACTCAAATATCATTTCAGAAATGCTGAATGTAGCAAAATATCTACAAAATGATTTCTTTAGTACAATATTTTGCTGATCGATGAAATATAACAAGCTACCAAAAATTAATAATAAAACAATATTGAGGAAAAAAAAAATCATAAAGCAGATTTAGTTATGATGTTTTCGCACCAGTAAGAACGGAATCATCACCAGTTCCCAACAAAAATTATTATACCTAATAGGGCCTGCCAAATGAGTTCCACAGAAGAAATCAAGTTGCATGCGGTTAAGATTATAAATCAGCAAAAAACAATCTTAAAATAATACCACATTAGCCACTGAATTCCAATTTATCCACAGTATCTCCAGGAATCATCAAAGTGGCATGTTTACATTGGCACCTAACCCCCAAAAGAAATTTAGCCAATACAGTCCTTGGACCAAGGTTTTCAGACAAGTAGTTGAGAACAGTATAATAGGAGTAACATTAGGCAAACCTTTGGAACAGGGCCATTGGATCACTGATAGTATATCAAAAGACTCAAAATCAATGACCTGTCCAGGTGATCCAATGGCCTAACAACATATGTGTTCTCTTTTGTAAGCCAACTTTTAGTAAGTAGAACTACTAGAATATAGTTGCTACCCAAGCAATCAAAATAAATATATATAAAAAAAATTAAGTTAAAATTAAAACTAAAAATGATTCAATGCAGCTGAATGCTAGTTAAGCTCAAACGAAAGCCATGCAATGCATCAATAATTGAAATATCAAAGCATGCATCATATTGGCAAAATGAGAAGAGAGACTAGCAACAAGAGATATACTATTTCTGAATCACCATAGATCATGCATGTCTTCCAATGGATTGCCTTCATCAAACTAGTTTTTGACTATGAGGTTCAGTATTACAATTAACAGCATAACCAAAAACATTTTCATACCTTTAACTGAAAGGTGTAGTCGTGGTAAGTTACTCAAAACAATATCCATAAGTATGAATTTTCAGAGTGAAATAATGCAACACGTTTTTACCTGCTTATGATGGATGATATATTATGTGTAAATAGTGGCACCTGCAATACAGATGACACCAAAACTCCACCAAATTTTGATATATAAGGTCAACTTAGCAGGAATCAAGAACATGAAATTCAAATAACCACAAAATCTCATACTGCGTTTGACAATGAACTATGAGAAAATAAAACCCAAAAACAGTAATACATGTATACAACTGCTGGATGATGGTAGCTACATGGTGTTTTTTAGTTCTAAGGACAAATGAACCAGAATAAATAAAAGCAGAAACAAAGGCAAGCCAGCTTTATAGGTTCTTGGGAGCACAAGTGATCAAGCTTGGGAATTAAGGAAAAGTGGACATGGCCAATTTCAATAGTCTCCACATAAGTTTGGTCCCCTAAGTAGAAGCGTCAAGGTGGGCCATAAGTTTGTCAAACCCTGGTTCATCTTGTCTTCTGGTTTAGGCAGTAGGCAGGCTGCGAGGGCTTCACAGATCTCAGCTGTTTGGATGGTAAGGGAAAGGGAACAAAGGGAAAATAAGAGTATCAGAATTCTAAACGGGACACTGGTCAGGTTAAGACATCAATCTCTTGTATACTAATGTGACTAGCCTACAGTATAGGAAGTTCGTTGATGGAAGATAAAAGAGTTAATGAAAATTGTAATCTACCTGTAGAGATCCATCAAGTTTAGTAAGCATGGTTTCTCCTCCTAGAAATACTGTTCTGACTAGACAACCTGGAAACAGGTATTAAATATCAGAATTGATGAATTTAGGAACACTCAGAATAAAATATCAGTAAGAGTGGCCTATTCACAATAGCAACAGGGAAGAAGGAAATTAGGAATGTAAAGTCACTTGATTCTGAAAAATAGCTTTTCAGAAAACATTTTCAGGTAAGAATATTTTTCAAGAGAACATTTTAAGTTGAAAATATTTTTTTATAGAATATTGAGATACACCCTCTCAATCTTCTAGAGTTGAATTTCTTTTGTTAAAAAGGGAGGCATTTTACCGTCATTGGGTTGCAAATGGAAATAATAGACTAGATATTAGTTTCTGTAGACTGTCACACTAAACATTTGAAAGAATTTTACAGAAAATGTTTCTCTGTACCAAACAAAAGAAAACGATGTGAGAAAACAAAAACCAGAAAATACGGAAAAAAATTCCAGAAACAGTGAAATTCTATAACAGAAATGTAACCATAAACAGCACAACTCAAACCTACAGTAGCGAAAAGTTATAATAAGCTTTCATAACACAGGTTTCAACAGGGTTGGTAGTAGCACCCAACCAACCCACTCAGTCCTTAAAAATTATCACAGCAGAAATCTAAGATTCATCTACAGAGAAGTTATCTTATGTTAGGTTCATCTACAAAACAGATATCTTATATTCATCTAAGATGAGAAATCACACAGGAAAAAAAAAATCAAGGAAAAAGTCGGACATAAGGAAAGATTACCCAGCAGTACTAGTTCGTCCCAAAGAATAACTTCCATAAGCCCCATAAGCGCTGCTACCACCAAGCTACAATATATGGATCAATATTACACACAGAGAACAAGAAATAATGGTTTAACTTGAAGAACTCAACCACATGCAAATATTCTCCCAAACTCAAGTATAATTATAGAGATGTACCTGTGAACCTCCATAGCTTTCGTAAGCATCACCGGCTGAAAAATCACTTGAGCCTCCATGCGCACTTGAATATGAATGCCCGCGTCCATGTCTTTTACCATCTCTACTCTCATAGTTTAGACCATCTGATCCATCAGCTGAAACAGGAAGATAAGGCAGAACTGGAAGGAATGCAGAGACAGCACCCTCCCTATCAAAAAGATTTGCTCTCAACCGTGTAAGCACATGCACAAGAGCATCCTTGGCAACATCAAGTTCTCCTGAAATCTAATCAAGAGGGGTGTAGGGGGAAGCCAACATTATAGGACAGAATGTTAGGATTTTTTATCACACAAAGAAGACAACGTTAGCCTAACCAAAGTATTGAAGTACCCATACCTGCACCATTTCATCATCTTCAGATGCAATTTTGGGAAGATTTTCCTTTGACAGAATGCGAATGTTAGCTTTGGTAAGCCTCCTCATCTCAGTTATGATAGATCCTCCTTTACCAATAAGGCAACCAATTCGGGAGGTTGACACCATCAGACAGGTAGTGAATGAGATGATTCCTGAATCTCTTTCAACTTTCTCACTGCATCGGGGTTGCAAACGCACAGCTGCTTCTATTGTTGGAGAGAAAGTGTCTTCAAAGACCTGTATTAGAACAGTTTGGAAAATATCACAAACCCAGCAAAAATCATACCACAAAAGTACACTTAAAGAACATAAAGAAAAATGGTCCACTGGGTGATTAATATTTCACCTCTTTTGTTGAAATGGTTATTAAGCATTCATCTCCTTCTGTTGCTGAACTATCAACTTTGATTGTTGCACCAGAATCCTGCCTAATTTGATTTATTATAGCACCACCTTTTCCTATTACGCCTCCAATGTTTCCTGTTGGACAAACCAATCGAACTGAAAACTCCTTTGAAGATGCTTCATCCCTTGGATGTGAGTAGAAGGACCGTGGCCAGTCACCACCGTCACCTTTATATCCCCCATAAGCACCGACAAGAGGAGCTATCCCCATAATTGGAGCTCCTGGAGTTGGACCCATGAGTGAACCACCGGCAGGGTATACACTGGGAACAGCAGAAGTAAGCAGATGCTGAGACCGTGAAGGGTTATCATGAAGTCTAGATGCAATTTGATACAGAGCCTTCTTCACCACTGCAGCATCTCCAGAAATCTGGAGTTTCAAAATCAATAGAAAACACATTATTATTTATAAGCAAAGATATATGGTAATGGCTTCCACTCTCCACTCAAATCCAACAGTATCCGAAAAAAACATCTAATTGAGGTACAAAATTTGTCAAGCACAGCGACTGCATCTACAATATTTGGACAAAATCAAGTCATCCAGATAGCAATTAAACTACTAGCAATGATAAACAGATACATTAATAAAGGGAAAAAAACACAACTGAAAAGGATTATAAATTTAATTTAAAATTAAAAAAAAATGCAATTCTAAGAAAATCTCATCCAGTTTACCTGCACAAGTTCATCAGAGCTCAAGGCACATGAGAGTAAATGTTCATCCTTAAGTATACGAATCTGCGCCCCGGTGTCACTACGTATGCTCTGAACTATCTGGCCACCTTTTCCAATAACACAACCAATCTGATCAGATGGTACTAGCAGCCTAGCATTCACTTGGTGAACCCCATCATCATCCTCATCAACATGTAAGTCTTCAGCAACCACTCTGTCATGCACCTTAAACAAAGCATCCTCAGCAGGTGATACATAATTGCCACCATCCTCAACAGCATTAGTCTTATCACTTGAGCTGTAGATAGTAATAACACGCTCTTCACTTCCAGGCACAGTCTCACCAATCCTAATCTTGGCCTTAGTTTCTATCCTCAGTTGCTTAACAATCTCACCTCCCCTACCAATAACACTGCCAATCTTTCTAGCAGGGCACAAAAAACGATACACAGTATCTTCTGAATCAATCACAAACTGCTCTCTATCATCACCTGAATTCCTCCTTTTATTACTTCCATTATCATAGTCAGATTTAAAGTGGGGGCGCTTACCATAAGTACTCCTTTGGCCAGCCATCACAGCAAATTCTTGATAGCAGCTTCTAAATCAGAATTAAAAGCTTTTGCAAGAAGCTAAATACTCTGCAAAGGTTCACAAGTTACAACACAGAGGTCATAAAAATATGAATAAGTGATTAAAAAAGAAAAAACTTCAAAACTTAGATAGCATTCAACAATATAAAAACAACTAACAAACCAAACAACCATGTTCAAAGAATTAATGTGGGGGTAAATTTTAAATAAAAAGGACTAGCTACTTCTGCAGGACATGCTAACACAATCTCACAAATGAACCAGACTAGATATTTTCACATCCCCCAAAAAAAATTCAAAATGGCATTTAAAAAAAAAAAACTTGGATTTATCCCATGAGAAATACTTGGTACAATCAAATTAAGCAAAAAGGTCTACGTTTTGGGTTCAGTCTTTACAATTAATTTGAATTAAAACTAGCCTCCCACTAACCCTATGATTAGGAATCAATTCCCAAATTAAGGGTTAATTAAAAATTCAAAATTTTGAGCATGGAAACTTGAATTATAAAAAAATACGAAAAATTTATAGAATCAGATGAAATCTATTTAACGAAAAAGAAAAAATAAATAAAAAGTTCAGATCTGTGCATGGCGACGGTGGTGAGAGGGAAGAGGAGATGCTCACAAGGGTTGAACGCTTGAACGCAGAAACAAAGCTGTCGTTTGTGGAGAAAAAGGAATCTCTCCAAAGAAGCAAGTTTCGGGTTGGGCTTGGTCTGATTTAAAACCGACCCGACCCGACCCACTCTTATTATTTTACTTTTTTTTCATATCCTTCGCTGCTAATGTTTCCTATTATTCGTTTACAAAAAGTATTTTCAATTTTGTGATATTATTTCTTCATTCCTTCTTTTTAATAATAGAATAACAAAAATATATATTTTGATACATTTTTTCTTTATTTATTTTTTCCAAATTATAAAAGTGTAAAGGTAGCCGAGAATTAATGATTATGATATTAGTGAAAATAAAATGATTTATACCTATATTTAGTTGTACATGATTAAATTATTTAATGCAAAAAATGGTTTATACTTATATTTAGTTGTTCATTATTAAATTATTTAATGACACTAACATTTCATATAATTTTTATACAAAAAAATCAGGCAACATCAGTTAAAAAAAAATCAATATTGTAAAAATTATACAAATGTACAGACGTACAGTGGTGTGTTTCAGTATGTGTAAATAACATTATTCTTTATTTTTTTATATGTTTTACTAATAATGATTAGGAAAAAAATTTATCTGATACATATATAAAAGTGTGTGGGACTTATATTTTTTGAAAATGGATCTTCTCATGTGAAAAAAAAATGATATGATCATGTGAGAAGATCATAACCATACAAAGATAAATCAACGGTTATGATTTCGTAACTACATATCTTATCATTTTTTTCTCTCTCTTTCTTTATTACTATTGATCCATCTTTATATGGTTATGATTCCCCAGATGACATGGACATGTGAATTTTCACATTAGAGGATCCAGATCCATATTTTTTTATCTTCTTTTTACATGGACTCACATGACTCCCATATACTTTTATGTATATATAATAAATAAAATTATCTCTTATAATATGAAAAATATTAATAACTAATAATAGGAGAATATGACAATTTCCTTGTGATGATCCAAATGTGATTTCAGTAGAACATCATCATTGGGAGTATGGTTGATCTCAAGTATTTTCCCTCAACATGACCCTAAGAACAGGGTCCCTTTTGAAGGATGGGCAAAAGTTATCATATCACCTTATCTTCTGTTGAAGTTGAACAAATGCCATGATTGACAAATCAGTTACTGAGTTACATTTGAGTTATGATCCAATAAGTGTGTATATAGAATAGTCTCAACTCTCAATGCCCCTTCATAAGTTATTAATAGATCAGCGTATATTAATGCAAATCAAGACTAGACATCAATGGATCCAATCCAAATCCCTTTGGTCTAGTTACGAGGGATCAAGAAAAAAAAATTCAAAGCCAAATTTAAGAAATACAGTCTCAATCAAATTTATGACTTATTGAGTATGGCTTATATTTTCAAAGAAGTATCGATTTAAACTCCAAAATTTGCGACCAAAACCCAACTTAAAGGCAACACCAAATTTGCATGTGATTTGTGGGCTAAACTGGGACAACACCAAATTGTGTGATGTCTCCGCGAGCATTTCGACAGCCCGGGCCTTGGCCACCATCGCAATCTGCGTCGATCAATGCCCCGAGTCGATTGGCAGACCGGCTCTCACCGTTCCACATCCGACCGGGACACATCGACGACCCCCATCCGCTTCCCTCCCAACAATTGATTGAAGGGGTCCTACCCTTGTACTATGCAGAAATGTGCGCTTCATCGCACTACTTTTTGAGCTTCCTTTCGATCACAGGGTAGGACCCCTTCAGCCAAGTAGTCGATACAAGACGCAACTTACAACTGAACATGGTTGTCACCACCAGAAGAGCAGAACAAGCTAAGGCCACGACGCCAGAAGGGCACGTACAAACAGTACACCCAAACTCCCCGCCATCCATGTATTCAGCCCCAGCCGAGCGAGCTGCAGGCGAGGCCCCTCCCCAAGTGCTACAATATGTTGGTCCATAGTTGCCAGCAGCTGGCGTTAGATTAGCACAGCTGAATCATCGCGTAGCCATACGTGAGATGTAGGGAGAAAATTTGGTCATAAACCAACCCCTACCGCCGAGAGTTCATTTTGGTATGCCATTTCCCACTGTTGTTCCACAAGTAGTCCAACTCGCCCATCATCCACTACCGGCCCGACGTCAGCCGGTAGCAATGTACAATGACCATCGAGTCCCCTTGGTCGACCCTTATCCTCCTGAACCATACACACATATTGTGGCTGCTCCTTTCCAACAACCTTACCACGCCGGTTTCCCATTCCATGGTTACGCCATGCAACCCCATAACTTAGCCATTCCACAACCCCAGACATCTTGTCTGAATCCTGACCAGCAACCATATGGCGCCCACCAAGCCTTTCACCAAGCCCCTGCCCTCTCTTACTCTGTCGAAGCCCCAAACTACCTCACCCGCAACCGGACCAGCATGCTCATAACCCCAATATGAGAATAATGCTCGCTTACACCTCAGGGCGTAACAAACCTTTGACTGATAGCTTGAGGTTGACCCCCATACCACTCGGATTCAAAGGCCCCTCTAACATCGCCACGTATGTAGGCGACACCGATCCCTTCGAGTGGATCCAAAAGTTTAAAGCGGCAATGACCCTTCATGGCGAGACGGACCTTCTCATGTGCAGGACCTTCCCAACACTTCTGGGAGGGAGAGCGCTGACATGGTACACAACCCTACCAACCGGTAGCATTGCGTCCTGGGATGATTTGGCAAGCAAGTTTCAGTCCCATTTCGCAACCAGTCGCCCTGTGCCTAAGTCCGTCCATTCCCTTGAAAAAATTCGACAACAATCTGGCGAGTCCCTCAGATCCTTCCTAGACCGTTTCGATAAAGAGGCTCTAGAAGTGCAAGGCTTGGACCCAAAAGTACAAGTGCATATACTCCTGTCAAGCTTGCGACAGGGAGCGTTCGCATACGAGCTCGCCCGCCATGAAATTATAGACTTAGAAGAGGTGAGGAAAAAATCCCAAGAGTTCATGAGAATTGAAGAGTACAAAGGGAGTCGAGTCGATGACTCCCACAACCAAGATAAGACGGTCAGTAAAGGTAAGAACCATGCTGATGAAAGTAGGAAGGGCCACAAATCATCTAAGTATGTCAGTCGCCCTACAGGGCGCGACATATCAGGACGCCAATCACATAGTGTCCTGCAGACTGAATACAAAAAGGAACCTAAGAGTAACCAACGACCCCAGCAGCCGACTAGAGAAGCCACAACGTACTGCAAGTTTCATTGCAGCAACGGCCACAGCATGGAGGAATGCGAGCACCTTAAAGACGAGATTGACGAACTCATCAAAGGCGGTGCTCAAAAACGGGGAGGAGATGGTGCTCGCCCTGCTGGAACTGGAAGGCGACACCGTGAGCGTAGCAAGTCGCCAGAAAGGAGAAGAACCAACCAATCCAGTGCACGACCCCGCCTTGAGCGTGACAGTAGAGAGGACTCGCCAAGAAGGCTCAGAGGACAAACAAGTCCAAGTCATAGAGGGAGGCGAGAGGAAGAGGAAGAAGACTCAGCTGTCATCAAGCACGGAGTGATAAATATGATCTCTGGCGGATTAAGCGGAGGGGGAGAAATGGCGAACGCCAGGAAGAAACACTTGAAACAGTGCTTGACGATCGCAGGCAAAGTCATTAGCAAAGCAAAGGACGACTGTGTTCCAACCAGGCGTAAAATCATTTGGGACATCAGCGATTTAGGCGACGTCCTCCCAGGGCATGACGACCCGCTCGTCATTCAAGAAATAATCGCCAACTTTGGCGTTAATCGCGTGTTTGTCGATCACGGCAGTTCTGCTGATATTTTGTTTTTGCTATGTTTTAGGGTGTTAGGGTTTACAGTTAATGATTTAACTCCTGCCGCAGGTGAACTTCCAGTTTTCAATGCTACCACCACTAAGCCGCTGGGTGTGATCAACTTGCGTCTCTCCCTTGGAACGCCACCCACTTCACGGTCTGCGGACATCCGGTTCCTAGTGCTTGACACTCCATCAGCCTATAACACCATCCTCGGCAGGAGGATGTTCGTCACCTTTGAGGCGCGCGTCTCACACCCCCACGTGGTGATGAAGTTCATAGCCAGAGATAATAAGGTCGCAACGGTGCGAGGAGATCAGATAGTAGCCCGGAGCTGCTACAACATATCCTTGAGATCAATGGCCAAAGTCACCTTCAAAGACGAGCTGGCACCCCAACAGAGGACAACCCCGCCAGCTGAAGGAGGTCCTGGCGAGATGGGGAAGGAGCATAACCAATGTTTCTTAGTGGAGTTTAACGCTCGGGACGATCCTAGGGTGGACCACGGCAGACCCACGCCCGATGGAGCATTGGAACACGTTTTGTTAGGCGACGCGGATCATCAGACAACAACAATCGGGGCGACCATTGACCCCGAAATGAAAGGCAAGTTGATCAAGCTGCTGAGAGACAACAAAGATCTGTTTGCTTGGAAAGCGTCAGACATGCCGGGTATTGACCTAGAAGTATGCTGCCACCGTTTGTCTGTGGATCCCAAAGCAAAGCCAGTTTCCCAGAAGAAAAAGAAGTTTGGTTCAGATCGCCAGAAGGTCATTGATGAGGAAGTTAAAAGGCTCCATGATGCCGGGTTCATCAGGGAAATCAAGTACACTACTTGGTTATCCAATCCAGTATTGGTGAAAAAACCAAATGGCGCATAGAGAATGTGTGTCAACTACACAAACCTAAACAAGGTCTGTCCCAAGGACGCCTATCCTTTTCCCAGCATCGACCAGCTGGTCGATAACGCATCAGGTTTCAAAATGTTATCTTTCATGGATGCGTATTCGGGTTACAATCAAATCCCGTTGGTGGAGGAGGACCATGACAAAACGACGTTCATCACCCGGAACGCCAACTACTGTTATACAATGATGTCTTTCGGTTTGAAGAATGCAAGAGTCACATACCAAAGGATGATGAATGAAGTGTTCAGAGACCTGATTGACGACTGCATCGAAGTCTATATTGATGACATGATCGCCAAATCTAAAACGCCAGAGCAGCACTTGTCAGACCTTCAAGGCGTGTTCGAAAGATTGAGAAAGTTTAACATACACCTTAATCCCAGCAAGTGTGCTTTCGGCGTCCCCGTAGGCAAATTCCTAGGCTTCATGCTTACTGAGCGAGGTATCCAGGTCAATCCTGAAAAATGCAAGACGGTCATTGAAATGCGAATCCCGCAAACAATCAAAGAGGTTCAACAGCTGACTGGAAGGTTAATAGCTCTCACCCGTTTTTTGGCTAACTCGACACATAAGTCTCTTCCCCTTTTTAGCCTACTCAGAAAGGGAATCGCCTTTTGGTGGTCAGAAGAATGTGAGAAAGCCTTCCAGGAGTTTAAAAGGGCTCTCTCTTGCCCACCGGTACTCGCCAAACCAGACGATGGAGAAATGCTATATTTATACCTCGTCGTGGGCGCCAAGGCAATCAGTGCAGCACTAATAAAGGAATTAAAAGAAGGGCAAAAGCCAGTATACTTTATTAGCAAAGTTCTACAAAGAGCGGAGCTTCGATACCAACAAGTGGAAAAGGTAGCCTTGACGCTTATCTTTGCCGCGCGGCGATTAAGACCCTACTTCCAGTGCCATCCAATCACCGTCAGGACCAATCAACCGATTCGTCAAGTTTTGCATAAGCCAGATCTGGCTGGAAGAATGATGTCCTGGGCTATTGAGCTGTCGGAGTACCAAATCACCTACGAGCCAAGAACCGCCATTAAGGCTCAAGCCCTTACTGACTTCATTGCCGAAATGACGCAAAGTCCCCCACCCAACTTCCAGGCAGCAGGAATGCCTTTATCTGGGGTATGGAAACTATATGTTGACGGCTCATCAAACACCAAAGGTTGAGGTGCAGGAATGATAGTCGAAAATCCAAAAGGCGTGGCTGTCGAACATTCCTTGTCTTTCGAATTCAACACCACAAATAACCAGGCGGAATACGAGGCCATGATTGCTGGCTTAATCCAAGCGAAAGAAATGGGAGCCAGACGCCTCAAAGTCTTCAGTGATTCCCAGTTGGTAACATTTCAGATCTCCAGCGAGTACCAAACCAAAGGACCCTTGATGTGCAGATACTTGGAGAAGGTCAAAGAGTTGATGGAAAGCTTTGAAGGCGTTGAGGTGGAGCATATCAGGCGTGCCGAAAATGCCCGAGCTGACATCCTCGCCAAGATGGCGAGCACCAAAAGCCCAGGTAATAACCGTTCAGTAATCCAGCATAACATGCCAAACCCATGCATAGTCATGAGAATTTCTGAATCAGCCCCTGAAGTCGCCAAAGAAACCTGGACAACACCCATTGTCGACTACTTGGCTGAAGGGGTCCTACCCTGTGATCGAAAGGAAGCTCAAAAAGTAGTACGACGAAGTGCACATTTCTGAATGTACAAGGGCGGTTGTACAAGCGAGAACATTCAACCCCACTCATGAAATGTTTGAATCCAGATGACGTTCAATACGTGTTAGAAGAAATCCATAAAGGAATCAACGGCCACCACATGGGCGGCCATTCGCTGGTAAAGAAAGCACTAAGAGCTGGGTTTTATTGGCCTACTATGGAGCGTGACGCCCACGAGCACGTCAAGAAGTGTGAAAAGTGTCAGAGGTTCGCTGATATACACAAAGCACCGCCTGAAGAGTTGAAGTCAATCACCTAGCCATGGCCTTTCCACAAATGGGAAATCGACATCTTGGGCCCTTTCCCCATGGCGGCTGGCAGGGTCCAATGGTTACTTGTCGCCATAGATTACTTTACCAAATGGGTAGAGGCAGAACCCTTAAACACAATAACGTCTTAGAAAACAAGGAGGTTCTTTTGGAGAAGCATTGTCTACCGCTTCGGCATCCCCGGAGAAGTCATTACTGATAATAGCACTCAATTCACCGACGCTAAATTCTGTGAGTTAATGAGCAGTTTGCAGATCCGACATCACTTTGCCGCAATTGAACACCCCCAATCCAACAGCTTAGTGGAGTCGGCCAACAAAATGCTGGGAAAAGGAATTAATCAACTCTTGAAAATACTTGATCATGACATCATTAGGGCACTTCATTGATCATCAAAGTCTCTTTTTTTTCTAAGTTCAAGGACCCCATATGTATACCATGATCACTTTCTTGAAAATACTTGATTATAGCTTGTTTAAGTCAATAAAAGAGGGAACTTCGATTAATCAAGTTGAAAATGGTTAATCCATGCATGTTTAATACTTTGGAATATCTGTTTTGAGGAAATACCGGACTTGGGAGCTTGGGGAAGCTTTGGGGTCTCGAATTATGCAGAAAAATCTGCATTTTTGCGTTTCCGTACAGGTGGTAATCGATTACCATGAAGGGTAATGGATTACCCCATGTATGGTAATCGATTACCTAGTGCAAATGTGATAGAAACGACCTAGTTTAGTAAAATTGCGATATCTCGAGCTACAGAGCTCCAAATTGAGTGAGGTTTGGACCTATGTGAAGATAACACATAGGGATACAACTCTGTAAAATTTAGTAGCCATTGGATAAGTAGTTTGATCGCAGTGTCAATTTTAAGTCGCGTTTTGGTTGCTGGAAATTCCGTTTGTAGCAGTCACCTTGCGTAAAACATAACCGGAGTTATACAACTCCGATTGAGACATAAAGTATATCGTTGGAAACCTCAAGATGTATAGTTTAACATTGTAAATATTAGAATATGAATATTGATATAATTGTTGGTCTAAAATAGATTGTGATTTTGCTGTGTTTGGACTTTGAGTTTGTGCGGACTCTTGGCTTGGATAGCTAGCTTGCAAGATAAGCTTTCGTGTCCTCGGTTTAGCCATTGTTGGTTCCACCATGTCCCTTGGGGGTATGTTTATATGCATGATGTTGTTTTCATGATATATTGATTTGTGAAATGCTGTTGAGTTGTTATATGCAAGTGCCTTTATGATATGCATGTGATGTTCCACCTATACGGTAAGCCTGAGTATGTGATACATACAATAGGGTGAGGCTGTGGATGAGGTGCAAGCGATGTTCCTTGTACTAACTGTAGGTAATAGACGTATTCCTGCATTTCTCTGGCCAGTAGAATAGTGATAAACACACATGGCATGAATATCTGTTGCACTGCATAGTTTTGGAACTTATATTGGAATAACTGCTTTTGAACTTATATTGCACATGTAAGTGAGCTTGGGGTGGAAGATCCTTGAGGACCCCTTGTCTTACTGAGATTTCTTATTTAAAGATCTCACCCCACTTTTGGGGCGCTTATTTCAGGATCAGGTAACTTGGGGGCTGATGCCTCTAGCGGCAGGAGGCCAGAGCTTAGTTGATGATTATTGCTGTTTATATGCTGACATGTTTGGATGCTGGATATATCTGCTGATGTTATGCTTTTAGCTTTATTTTATTATGATGTTGTTGCTGAGACTATGTTGGGCTTGTTGTCTTATTTGTGTGAGCATGGGGTTTGTCCATGTCACTTGATGTTAGTGCATTTAGTTGGAGTTGTATAAACTGTTAGTTTGTCCGGTCTACGTGTTATAGTTCCGTGACTAGAGACATATTTATGTTGTTTAATTAATGAGGTATTTCAGTTAGCTGTCTTTTGCAATTTACATACAGGCAATGTTTTATTAATTGATTAAGTAAGCAAGTTGGTAATGATTAATGACATCATAATTGAAAAGAAAAAGATATTCCGTATTTTTAATTAAGCCCAGCTTAATACGATGATATGATAACATACCGGATATATACAGGGTGTTACAGCGGGCATATCTGGATATAACAGAACCCCATATCCGGATATCAATAGGATATTTCTCGACAGAATGCAGTTTTTGCATTTCGCGAGATATCACTCCAAAGGTTGGGTTTTTAACCCATTCCAACGTTAAAGTATGCATTTTTAACCTCTTTTAAGTTCATATAACAGTTGGTTACTTGTTTAACTCGTTAAACATGCCAAGACACATCTTTTAACCATTAAAACTCATGATCAAAGGTTGAACAACTTACCCAAGGCTCAAAACAGAGAAGGGAGTGCTCTTGGAGCTCACCAAACAGCTCCAAATACTCAGACTAAGATGGTGCATGAAAATGCACTACAAGGTGGGTCCTTTCTTCACAAAGATGACCACTTGGAGCTCCCACAACCAAGGAAAAGCTCCAACCACTCAAGCAAGGAACTCAGCCCCAAAACTCTTCCCCAAACAGTACCCTCAACTCAGTAAAACTGAACCTCACCCTCACAAGACACCCACTCAAGTGTTTACAAGGTGAAAGAAGAGGAAAAACAAGTAAAAGGTGACAACTTGGTCATAAAATGGTGAAGAGGAGCAAATGAGCACAAACTGACCAGCCACCAAAACTCACGTAGGATAGTGTTATGGCCTAGGCTTTAGTGCCTTAAATAAGTATACATAGTGGTTTAAGTCATAAACACACAGTATTATCATAATTAGCTACGCTTAGCATTATAATCTCAAACTCAGGATTCTAAACCTGCTCAATTTATAAGATTTATTATATTTTTATATTATTTTTCGCAGCACATTTTCGGTACGCACTTTTCCATAGCCAGTATCAGTTCTGGCACAAGTTCTCATTATTTTGACTTGAAACTTGTTTTACATGCCCTATATATTATCCTAGTGACATATACACACTTTTTATAATTTTCTGGGATACTTCATCGGTACGCATTTATACCGAGTAGCAGAACCGGTATCTGCACTTTTCGTCCGAAATGCGACTTTCAGCATTATTATTCACTTATTATAATTATCTAAGTCTCATAATAATTATTAGGGTCAATTATGGAATTATTTCCTAATTTCTCATAATTAATTAATTAACTTCCTTAATTAACGGTGCAGGTTCTTACATCTTCGGTTGCGGTCAACAATGTGCGAATTGTTGGACAAAACGTGTTGCCAACTCAATTCAACTGTTAATTGAATTCTCTGGCCATGCAGTAAACCACTCTAAGGCATGCTTCCTCAAAAAGATTGGAAAGGTTCTACACAATAAGGAATTTGTTTCACCACAAAGAGACATTGCTGCTCGAAAAATAGTTATGAATTCTCGGGGATCTGAGCTACCGTCATATGCCTTCATATCACTTGGTTGTTTGAACCAACCCGAAATTTGCTCCTCCCTTAATCTCCAAGACAAAGGTGTTCCAGATGCTCCTTGTATAGTCGGTACTGCCTGATTTTGCGACTGAACTGGTAGATATCATGCCAACATTGCATGTTGATTCATCTGACATAGCACTCCCGGATCTCGGTATATAGCTTGTAATCAATTCCGACAAGGTGGAAACAGGTGATCTCCCTGAAATCTCTGTGGAAAAGGCGGGCACAGGTGATTTTTCACCTATTGTGCATTACAGTGCTCCTCTCTCTCATACTGATTACCCTCCTGGTAACAGCCTCTGCCTTCCCTGTGAATCTCCCTGTTCCAGGCATGATGATAACCAGGCGCTTGGTATTAATACTCCTCATGGCGGGCATTACGAAACCCGCCATCTCCGGCCCATCATAACGACACCCTCTAACATTACGGTTATCTTCTTCGCCAACATAATGATAGCGACTAAACTCTTGCAGGTTTTCCTGGCAAGCATCTGGATGCCCGTAAAGGTCATATCTATCTCTTTCTTGTTGAGCTTGATGATGCTCATATTCTCTTCTTTCTTGATAACACCCATTCCTATCTGACTCCCGAGTGTATTCTGTAGGTACTCTATCTTGATTTCTCTAGATAACTTCTTGGTCCTTACTTCTGTTATCTGGCCTTCTTGGTGAACTCCTCGACTGTCCTGAGTGATGATGATGTTTTTCCTGATATAAACCCTCTGCCCTCCTAGGATGAGACATAGGAATGTAACTAGGAGCAGGAGATTGTGAACCTCTTATTGGATTTTCCTACAAGTGTCTGTTCTCATTCTGTGGTCTTTCTTCTGAACGAAGTCTCCTCCTTCTCTTTTCGTTGTGATGCCTATTTTTGATGTCTTCTGCTAGCTGGATTAATGCCTCTCCTATAGTGTTTAACGAATGGCTCCTAGCATTAGATCGAAAAAAGTTTTCCTTATCCTCTGCTGGGAGTAAACTATTTTCTCTCCTTCGCTCCTAGTCATTATTACTAGCCATTAACAAAGGTTGGGAATAAACTTTACAGTTCCCACAGACGGCGCCAAATGTTCTGTATGATCATTAAATGTTAGGTTGGTTTTATGGTGATTCTCTGTGATTTTGACTTAATCCCTTTCTCTTCAAAGGCCCCCTTTATATATATGCTATATTAACGGTTATTATTAGTGAATATGGAGTTACTAACTCGGCAGTTACCAGGATCGTGGTGTATCATTGTATATATGGGCTCAAAACCTACCGAGTTACCTTATCCAGGTATGGGCTTCTCAGTTATGCATAACTAGGCCTATCCGAGTTATAAACCTGGAACGGTTATGATACTGACAAATGCTTAATGCCAACAATGTTGACACCATTATAAAAGGATTTTGATTTTTGACAATGTTGGCTTTCAGATTATACGTAGTTTTACAAATCAGTGAATGTATTTATGAGTCTATTGATTACATAATCTTTCTTAGAGATTCGTTAAGTATTAAAAATCTAAATTTTTCTCCATTACGATAAAAATTCAAAAAAATTCTTGAATGCGATAACAATCTAAATTTTTAATCCTATTTCAATAAATCAAATTAGTGACTGTATTTATGACACAATTAATTACGTAATCTTTCTTACATACTCGTTAAGTATAAAAAAAATCTAAAATTTATGTACCCAATTAAAAAATCTAAATTTTTTCTTAAAAGAAATAAAAATTTAAATTTTTTCCCGTTTCAATAAATCAAATTTGTGGCTGCATTTCTGAATCTATTAATTACATAATCTTTTTTTGATGGATTTGTGAGTATAAAATATTTGAAAATTTACTCATTAAGCTTTTTTCCCATTTCAATAAATCAAACATAAATCAAGATTTTTTTTTAATCTCTTCACACATTACTCCCGTATAATAATAATAATAATAATAATAATAATAATAATGTTTTTAGAAAATTACTAACCAACCATAATCAATAAAAAATTTTCAAGCAAAATAAATTTTACCTTTACTTGTTCAACAACGATACAGTAATAATATTATCTATGTCTGAAGAATATATATATATTTTGTGTCTGTGTCCTAAAATAAAATAAAGATGTGAATTTTTTTTAAAAAAATTAATTTTTAAAGAAAAATTAAAAAAATCAAATTCATCGAATATAATTTTGAATTATTTTTATTTCTCATTTAAAAAAAAAGATTATGTTGTAGGGTTCATTTAATATCATTTAATACATTGAAGAATTAGACACCCAATCTATTATATAATTATCCACACTCCTCGTCACTAGGATAATCCTAATGACTTTCGATGTATATTTTTGACACCAGTTATGATGCATACATTTGCTTCTGAATTTATTCTTTTACTCAGTTATGATACTGACAATTGCATAATGCCAACAATGCTGACAACCTGGCACCATTATAAAAGTTGGCTTTTAGATTATACATAGTTTTACAAACTAGTGGATGTATTTACCAGTCTATTGATTATATAATCTTTCTTACAGATTCGTTGGGTATAAAAAATCAAAATAAAATTCTCAATTAAGATAAAAATTCAAATTTTTTCGCGAAAGCGATAAAAATTTAAATTTTTATCCTATTTCAATAAATCAAATTAGTGACTGTATTTATGAATAAATTAATCACGTAATCTTTCTTACAGACTGTTGTTGAGTATAGAAAATCTAAAATTTATGTTCCGATTAAAAAAATCTAAATTTTTTCTCAAAAGAGATAAAAATTTAAATTTTGTCCCATTTCAATAAATCAAATTAATGGCTGCATTTATGAATCTATTAATTAGATAATCTTTTTTTTTTTTATGGATTTGTTGAGTATAAAATATCTGAAAATTATCTACTCATTAAGCTTTTTCCCTTTTCAATAAATCAAACCGAAATCAAGAAAAAAATATCTTCACACATTACTCCCGTAAAATAATAACAATAATAAAAATAAAAATAATTACAATGTTTTTAGAAAATTAATAACCAACCATAATCAATAAAAAACTTTTTATGCAAAATAAATTTTACCTTTACTTGTTCAACAACTTTACACTAATAATATTATCCATGTCTGATGAAGAATATATATATATATATATATATATATATATATATATATTTTGTGCGTGTGTGTCTGTGTCCTAAAATGAAATACAGAAGTGAAAAAAAATTAATTTTTTTTTATTAAAAATTAAAAAAACAATTTCATCGAATATAATTTGAATTATTTTTATTTCTCACTTAAAGAATAAAAATTATATTGTAGGGTTCATCTAATCTCATGTAATAGGAAATAAAATCTCTTATATTGTAGATTAAGGTAGTTAAAATCAAATTTTTACCTAAAAACAAAAAAGATATAAAAAATCGTAAAATGTAAATTATAATAACATAAAGTCATAAAAAGGTAAAAGCATTTGTAATGTTAAAAAAACATTTTGATGAAAAATCGTAAAAACGCAATTTTAAAATGAGATTTGAACCACCATGCTACAGACACACATATAGTGGGGCTCGTCATTAAAAAAAAGAAAGAAAGAATGTCACAATTTTCAATGTACATTTTTTTTAATACGTTGAGGAATTAAACACACAATCTGTTATATAATATCTACACTTCTCACCACTAGGATAATCTTAATGGCTTTCGATGTACATTTTTGACACCAGTTATGATGCATACATTTGCTTATGAATTTATTCTTTTTCTTAGTTATGATAATGACATTTGCTTAATGCCAACAATGCGGAAACCATTATAAAAGTTGGCTTTTAGATTATACGTAGATTTACAAACTAGTGGATGTATTTATCACTCTATGATTATATAATCTTTCTTACAGATTCGTTGGATATAAAAAATAAAAAAATCTCAATTAAGATAAAAATTCAAATTTTTTTTCGAATGCGACAAAAATTTAAATTTCTATCCTATTTCAATAAATAAAATTAGTGACTGCATTTATGACTAAATTAATTATGCAATCTTTCTTACAGACTCTTGCGTATAGAAAAATAAAAAATTTATGTACCCATTAAAACAATCTAATTTTTTTCTCAAAAGAGATAAAAATTTAAATTTTTTCCCATTTCAATAAATCAAATTAGTGGCTGCGTTTATGAATCTATTAATTACATAATATTTTTTTTATGGATTCGTTGAGTATAAAATATTTGAAAATTTACTCATTAAGCTTTTTTCCCATTTCAATAAATCAAACAGAAATCAAGAAAAAAAAAATCTCTTCACATATTACTCCCGTAAAATAATAATAATAATAATAATAACAATAATTATAATGTTTTTAGGAAATTAATAACCAACCATAATCAGTAAAAAAAATTTAAGCAAAATAAATTCAATAACTTTACGCTAATAATATTATCTATGTCTGAAGAATATATATATATATATATATATATATATATATATATATATATATATATATATATTGTGTGTATGTGTCCTAAAATGAAATATAGAAGTGAAAAAAAATTAATTTTTTTATTAAAAAAAAACAATCTCGTCGAATATAATTTGAATTATTTTTATTTCTCACTTAAAAAATAATAATTATATTGTAGGGTTCATCTCATGTAATAGAAGATAAAATCTCTTATATTGTAGACCAAGGTAATTAAAATTGAATTTTTACCTAAAAACGAAAAGGTATAAAAAATCGTAAAACATAAAATTATAATAACAAAAAATCGTAAAAAGGTTAAAACATTTGTAATGTTAATAAAAATATTTTGATGAAAAATCATAAAAACACAATTTTAAAATGAGATTTGAACCACCATGCTGCACACACACATGTAGTGGGGCTGTTTATTAAAACAAGAAAGAAAGAGTGTCATGATTTTTAATGTATATATATTTTTTTGAATACATTGAGAAATTAAACACACAATTTATTATGTAATTATCCACAGACACCAGGGGAATAATCTCATAATCCTAGTGACTTTCTATATACATTTTTGAAACCAATTTTGATGCATACAATTTCTTATGAGTTTATTATTTTTTTTTTTTGGTACATTGCCAGCACCATGCTCTCGGGGTACGGTCCGTTTGGGCTAGTCCCTCATTGTAACATCCCCGTCTCGAGCCGGTTCAATTAACATACATATGATACAAACAGAAACAGCGGAAGACTTAACTTACGAAAATACGAACTAACTTTTTCTTTTTCTTTAATCCTTTTTCACATGACATATCACATTGCATACTTCTTCTAATTTAATTCTTATTTTACGGAGACGAAAATCGGACAGAGTAACCTCTGTAAATCGGACAACTGGGGATTTTCCAATCCTACACTCAAGAGTTCCTGATAGACAGTTTAAACAATATATATTTCCAGAAGTACCAGTCATGCAAATATACTCAGATACCCATCTATGGGCGCATGCTGAACTTGGCTCCGTGCCACAAATCTAATAGCATGCAATCCAATACATAACATAACTGAATACTACATAGTCATATCATCATGCCTGAATACATAAATATACAAGTATCGAATATGAACACTATGCAACAATACATCTTCTCCAAAAATACGTCTAAAACAAATAGTAGCATCCGACCACCCAGAACTCCACATCCTCATACTAGTACCTCTAGCCACGGTTAGTGTCCTTGTCCCATGAGGCTCTTCAATTAACTGTGTTCCTGAAATCATATCCCCAAACGGGGTTAGAGACGAATCTCTAGTAAACTCCAGGTTTATGGAAAACCCTCCATACCCTGGGCTCACTTCCTGCATGACAGTCAGATACATAATATACAAAACACCATATAAACAATTATCATAACTGAACAAAGCATATATACATATCTTATCAAAGACAAACGCAGTCATTCCCAAGGGATGACCCCAAGCGAAAATCAACACGCGTAACAAATATCTTTTACAAAAATCATCACAATACTCACATCAGAACAAAACGTGTTATATCAGAGACGTACGCAATCGTTCCCAAGGGATGACCCCAAGCGGAAATCAACGTACGTAACAAATATCATTTACAAAATCATCATACATATCCCATAAAACATGTCATATAATCAAATATCATAACCAAACAAAACATATACACATATCTTATCAGAAACGTACGCAGTTATTCCCAAGGGAGGACCCCAAGCGGAAATCAACGCACGTGTTCCCAAGGGAGGACCCCAAGCGGAACCAGAACATATCAGAGGCGTACGCAATCATTCCCAAGGGATGACCCCAAGCGGAAATCAACGCACGTGTTCCCGAGGGAGGACCCCAAAGCGGAACCAGAACATATCAGAGGCATACGCAGTCATTCCCAAGGGAGGACCCAAGCGGAAATCAACGCACGTGTTCCCGAGGGAGGACCCCAAAGCGGAACCAGAACATATCAGAGGCGTACGCAGTCATTCCCAAGGGAGGACCCCAAGCGGAATTCAACGCACGTGTTCCCGAGGGAGGACCCCAAAGCGGAACCAGAACATATTAGAGGCGTACGCAGTCATTCCCAAGGGAGGACCCCAAGCGGAAATCAACGCACGTGTTCCTGAGGGAGGACCCCAAAGCGGAACCAGAACATATCAAAGGCGTACACCATCAGTCCCGAGGGAGGACCCCAAAGCGAACATATCATATTAACACATATCAAAGTAAATACATCAAAAAAAAACATATCATATTATCATATAGCTCTATATGAATGCATCTATATCATATATCTCATACATATCATACAACCTGACCACAGTCCGTACACTATGGCGGAACACAAAGTAGGAGCGAACCCCATAAACATAGAGCTTACCTCTTTGAGCTTTACAATCTGCTTACTTGAAGAACAAGCTACTTATCATACTCCACGAGAATCCAAACGTTCACAGTCCCTAGGTACACCTAGAGAAGGAATTCAACATAAAACTCAATAAAATGATATAATGCCATGTAAATATACAAGACACGCACTTTATTGTTTATTTTCTTTTTACTTAATCATATTAAGTCATGAGTGGGTGGTTCTTTGTTCAACAAATCCCCACAAAATTCCATATATTCACTTAGTCTTAGGATAGTCCCAAAAGGCCTTTAGAACACTCATTACTCCTCTTAGCACCTAAAAGCCTATTTTTCCCAATTTAAGGCCGAATGCCCATTACAAAGGAGCTATAAGATTTCTCTTTGTCTAGTGCCTAAACCCAAGCTTAGCCACCTATATAAATTATTTTACGCATATAAGTATCCTCACTTTGCGAAACAATATCTCCGAACATATACCTCCTTTGAAAATGGCTAAAACTCATTTTAAGGTCATACAAAGGAGTTACCTTATTTTCTTTTTTATTTCACCAAAGCGAAGGTCCATACACCTTAGAATATCATTCCACGCATAAAAGTATGCTCGCTTTGTAAAACAGTAACTCATAGCACATACTTCCTTTGAAAATGGCTAAGAGGCACATAAAGGAAATCATGCCAACTTCATGATTTCAATGCTTTACTCCATCAAATTCAAGCTTATCACACACCTCTAATCCAAGATTCGTTAATTGATATATACGACACTGTTCATCTCTACAATACTATTCATGTATGCGTCACTATTCACGTATACGACACTATTCAAAAATACGATATTTTTAATTTTCCAAAATACATTTTCACCGTTAAAATTCTCATCTAAACACTTTTCTCAACATGAGCTAAACCTGAATCAAGCTCTAACATGCTCAATCAAACCAAATTTTCAAAATGAAAACCTAGATTCAATCTTCCTCAAAACTAAAAGAAAACCAAGATTTCTCAACATAAACTTAACTAGAACGAAGGGCAAGGCTTACTTCAAGCTCCCATGGCTTCAAGCTCCATCAAAATCCCCATTATCCATGAAATCCGAAATCTTGGAGGAGGAGGATCTCTCTCTACAATGAAACCCACTCAGAAATACTGGTACCAATGGATTCTTCTCGAAATTTCTTATAAGTTTGGCTTTGGAACGGAGTGATTTGGAGTTTTCTAGCTCAAGTTATGAGCCTTGGAAGATTGGATTTCAAAATCTCATTCTCTTCCTCCCTCACTGTCGTCCGCGAGAAGAAAATAAGAAGGAATAGTAACTTTTTTTGAAATTTCACTTATATAGGTCAACTTAAATCCAACTGGGTAAAGGTTTATCTATCTACGCACCTCCATTCATAACCAAACTTTACCCAATGGACTAGAATATTTTTCTAGTCATATTTCTATTTTTACTTTCACTTTTTGGATAACTTTATTTACCCGTATTTTTACCTCTTAACTGTCATTTTAACTCATTTTTCACCAAATGTGACTTTATTTCTTTTACTTCTAATTATTCTTCAATACTAAATCCACAATTACTAATGAGGGTTATTATACTCATTGTAACAGTGGGTGCACTAAGTTTCGCAACCGGAGAAAGGATGAGACTAATCCCCCAACCAAAGATTTTTGGCTTATTCTCTGACCCCCAAATTTTTTTCCAAAAAACTACTTGAGGCAGAATTTAATCCCTGCACCAAGCAATCCTTGGGAGCTGAGCTGCCCTTCGGAGTTTATCAGTTTATTCTTTTGCTGAGTTATGATACTGACAATTGCTCAATGCCAACAATGTTAACACCATTATAAAAGAATTTTGATTTTTGACAATGATGGCTTGTACGTAATTTTACAAACTAGTGAATGTATTTATCAGTCTATTGATTACATAATCTTAGTCTATTGATTACATAATCTTTTTTACAGATTCGTTGAGTATAAAAAATCTAAATTTTTTCTCAATTAAGATAAAAATTTAATTTTTTTCATATTTGAATAAATCAAATTAATAACTGTATTTATGACTCAATTAATTACGTAATCTTTCTTACATACTCGTTCAGTATAAAAAAATTTAAAATTTATGTACCCAATAAAAAAAATCTAATATTTTTTTCCATTTCAACAAATCAAATTAGTGGCTGCATTTATGAATCTATTAATTACATAATCTTTTTTATGGATTTGTTGAGTATAAAATATCTGAAAATTTACTCCTTAAGCTTTTTTCCCATTTCAATAAATCATTCACAAATCAATAATTTATTTTTTAATCTCTTCACACATTACTCTCGTAAAATAATAATAATGATAATGTTTTTAGAAAATTACTAACCAACCATAATCAATAAATCAACAAAAGACTTTTCAAGCAAAATAAATTTTACCTGTACTTGTTCAACGACGTTAGCACTTGTGTCTGTGTCCGAAGAATATATATATATATATATATATATATATATATATATATATATATATATGAGGTAGGATCTCGGGTGTCAAATTTTAAATTTGACACCTCATCCGAGAGCCGTTAGATCAAAAAAGATCAACGATGTCACATGCTTACAAATCAGAGCCGTTGATCTTTTTTGATCTAATGGCTCTCAGATGAGGTGTCAAACTTCAAATTTGACACCGGTGTCAAAGGATCCTGCCTATATATATATATATATATATATATATATATATATATATATATATATATATATAGGTAGGATCCTTTGACACTGATGTCAAATTTGAAATTTGACGCCTCATCTGAAAGCCGTTAAATCAAAAAAATCAATAGTGTCACATGCTTACAAATTAGAGTCGTTGACCTTTTTTGATCTAACGGCTTTCAGATGAGGTGTCAAATTTTAAATTTGACATCGGTGTCAAATGATATTGACACTGATGTCAAATTTAAAGTTTGACACCTTATCTGAAGGCCGTTAGATAAAAAAAATCAATGGTATCACATACTTATTCTTTGATACTAGTGTCAAAGGATCGTACCTTTTATATATATATATATATATATATATATATATATATATATTAATTTTGTGTCTGTGTCCTAAAATGAAATTAAGAAGTGAAAAAATATTTGTTATTAAAAATTAAAAAGAAATAGATTTCGTCGAATATAATTTGAATTATTTTTATTTCTCACTTAAAAAATAAAGATTAAAATATTTTTAAGAATATTATCACATAGATCTTTAATTCCATATATACAATAATCATATATGAAAACTTTCATTATCTATTAAAGCCATATATAAATTCAGATGAATTCCATATATACAATAATTCCACATAATGTCAACGTCAGCTACCTCAAATCTATCTATCCCGTGTTGCTGATTGTATAAATATTTCGGAATCTCTCTCAAACGTTTATTTGCTCTGAAAATCGCAGCACTTTTTCTTCGCACCCAAACACTCGTCTCTTAGCATTGGATTTTCGAAAAAGCTCATTTAGCTGCATCGGAACTCAATCGAATCCGTGCAAACAAATAAACGTAAAAAAAATGTCTTCTAGCTCAAGTAACCAGCAGTTCCGTTACACTCAAACGCCGTCGAAGGTGCTCCACCTCCGCAACCTTCCATGGGAATGCACTGATGACGAGCTTATTGAACTGTGTAGCCCATTCGGTAAGATCCTCAACACCAAATGCAATGTTGGCGCCAATCGGAACCAGGCCTTTGTTGAATTCGTATGCTTCTACTCTCTCTTTTCTCTCTCCCTCTCGTATTATTATTATTATTATTGAATTGTGAATTTTCTCTTCTTTTTATTTATTTATTAGAAATATGTTAGGGTTTTATGTTTTAACTTTATCTATATGCGTGTACTGATACTGTCATACTGTACGGCATAACATTATAACATGCACACAATGATATAAAAGCATAAAAAAGTTATTTATTTATTTTTTATTTTTAACGTTAGTCATTGTAGGTGGACACAATAGAAGATAGTGTTTATGAAACTCTTTTGATATTTCACTTGAATTGACACATAAAAATTCAAAAAAAGAAAAAAAAGAAAATTAAGGATGCAAGGTAGGAAGTATCCAATGGCGTGCAATGGTATGGATCAAAACTCTAGGAGAGTCACTCTGAGTGCTCTCTCCGAGGGAGCTGAGATAGGGGGGATGTGTATGGGCTACATGGCTCTAAAATCTGAGAGAGTAACGGCTCATGAAAATGTGTGATATCAGATGCCTCATTTTGACAGGAAAATAGGGGTTTATATAGGTGGGAAATATTCCCAAATGATGAGAGAGAGAGAGGTGAGCCTAAAATCATTAGCCAATTTCTCACATTTGCAGTGAGGAGCTGCCTCACCATCGTGCGTATATGATGGTGAGTTGTGTAGGGGTAAAAGGGATCCCCTATGGTAAGGTCCATGTCCTCACTATAGGGTGTCAATGGAATGATCCCCTGATGGGCCTTTGTAGGCCGGTCCATCCCTTCTACCCCTGCACAACTCACTATCGTACACGCACGATGGTGAGGTCCATGTACTCACTATAGGGTGTCAAGGGAATGACCCCCTGATGGGCCTTTGTAGGCCGGTCCATTATATTGGACTGTCAGGACTGCCCAGAACAGGTATGATATCTGTATCTGACATTTTGAAATATTCTTGCTTCCTAGGTGTTTATGATGAATAGTTATGGAGAAATTTTTTAGATAGAATGCAAAGCAATTTTTAGATTTTGTGAATATAAATGAAGTTAAATGGATGGATGGAAATTTTAGATATCTGTTTGCTCCTAATGTGGAAAAATATGTAGACCATACACTATTTGTTTCTGTGACTGGTCATCTAACTGGCTTTCCTTTATGTTCCTTTAGTTTTTTTCCTTGATTGGAACTTTATGTGGATGACAATTGACAAGAGGACATGCTGATAAATAATAATAATAATTAATGACCCAAAATGTAAACTATATTCTGGGGCTGCATCATATGCTTTCTTATATTTGATTATACCTGGACCTGGTCCTATTGTGATTTCCCAATTCAAGGATCTTAGGTTTTAAGTATAAATGCTGTACCAGGTGGATCTTAACCATGCAATTTCAATGGTTTCATATTATGCTTCATCTTCAGAGCCTGCTCAGATTCGTGGCAAAACTGTTTACATTCAATATTCTAATAGACATGAAATTGTCAACAACAAAATCCCTGGAGATGTCCCGGGAAATGTCTTGCTGGTAACCATCGAAGGCGTGGAAGCTGGAGATGTGAGCATAGATGTTATCCACTTGGTAAGTTCAACTGTGTTGACTAGTTGATTTGGTTGTGTGTGAGGTTGCATGCTCCTTGTCTGGGTAAAATATGTGTATTGTACTATTTTTTTAATGCATATTTGTTAATATGGGTTACATACATGTCTTTATTCTTTATTCAGGTGTTTTCTGCATTTGGATTTGTACACAAAATTGCTACATTTGAAAAAACTGCAGGTTTCCAGGTTAGTAATTAGTGAATTGCACTTCTTTCAATGTATCATTGTCGTAATTAGCTGTGTTATTTCTTGGCAGGCTCTGATTCAGTTCACTGATGCTGAGACTGCTTCTTCGGCTAGGAGTTCACTGGACGGAAGAAGCATACCCAGGCAAGCAGTGCTTTAACGTTTCCTCCTTTCTTCTTCACCCTCATCATTTACTGCGGTGATTGTTTGATAAATCATAAAATTGTTGATTTCCTTATGCTTTTTATGTCCAGATACTTGCTGCCAGAGCATGTTGGTTCTTGTTACTTGCGTATTTCATACTCAGCACATAGAGATCTAAATATCAAATACCAATCTAATCGCAGCAGGTAGTGATGGGGATGCAAGAAAAATTGTGAAAGCCGTTGCATGTAATTTATCGTGGTGTTCTCTGAACTGCTAATTGTTGTTTGTGCTTTTTTGTCATCTAGGGTTAGTGAAGCTTGCTAGTCAGAATGCAGTTGTGTTGTGATGACCACTTATTTATCTTTTTCCAGATATTAGATGGCTTTGTTGTCATTAATTATGAAATTATTATTCTCTTGTTATGGAAACCGATTGCACAAAGCTAATTTTTCTGCATGTGGATAATATATTTTAGATCTTGTTGGAGAGTTTATGCTAACTATATTTTTTTTTTCTCAATGTAATTTGATCTCCTTGATCCTTATTTTTAGAGACAATTTGGATTTCAAAAATGCACAACTGCCATGTAAAACTTTATTCTTTATATATTATATTATAGTTGTAACCTTGTAGGCGCAGCTTCTAGTTTTATCAATTGAATTCATCAGTTTAAAAACAGAACGGTTTTTTGTTTTTTGTTGTTTTTTCTTTTCATCTGTGGTTGATTACACGAAGATCCCACTGGCCATTATCAGGTGATACATTCTTTCGAATAGTATCTTCTTTTGTATTAAAATATCAGGCAATACTGATTTTCCCCTTTTATAGAGATTCCAAGTTTAAATCCTTGGCTATATTCTAGTTGGCAGGAAAAAGAAATAAGAAATCAAACATCTATAATTACCTGATCTTTGAATCCATATGTTTTGGTTTCTAGAATATCCTTACTGCTTGGAGGACATTTATGATGAAATAATTTGATGTGTTAATGTTGAAATTGTAAGTAATTGTTGGTGAACCATAATTGTATGAACAAGCATGTTTTTTAAAGTAAGCATCTTCTGTTTCTTCTATCCTTGCATTTTCAGAATTGGAATTAACAGGTTGTCTAATCTCTCTTAGGACATTGTTTGGAAATGCACAGTAAAACTTCCATGTGTAAATGTTATCTTTGATTTAATCCTATGACAATGCTTGGTTATATTTATTTTTTGACTTCTCAGGGACTACACAAATCCCATGCTTCCTGTTAGTCATACTGCTATTGATGGGGCATTTCAGGTATTTTGTTAATTTTTTTCTTCATATAATGTATGTTTTGCATATTTTTAGTATGTGCTGACAATTTATGACATTCAGCCTGCAATAGGTCCTGATGGGATAAAGAAAGAACCTGAGAATAATGTGCTCTTGGCTTCAATTGAAAATATGCAATATGCTGTCACTGTAGATGTTCTTTATACGGTGAGAATTTGTATTTCTATTGAGATTGCAAATTTATAGGTGATTTATACTCAAAGGTGCTGGCGTACCTGTTACAGGTGTTCTCTGCTTTTGGTACAGTGCAGAAAATTGCTATATTTGAAAAGAACGGTCAAACTCAGGCACTAATTCAATACCCTGGTATTAATCCTATTCGACTGTGGTTGAGTTTGTAGTCTTTATTTTTACTTTGTATTTTAAAAGTATATATACATATTTTCTTCCTTATATAGGTAATTTTGATTATCACTGGTGGTTCCTTAAGTTCTTCATGTTCATGTAATGTGATGATGATTTTCCATCATGTTCATCGTTCTTTCTAATGGATTGAAATTAGTTATGATACATTTCTATGATTACAGAGTTTTCACCTGTGAGGGAAAATCTGCTCTTGGTTGTTTTAGAGGAACATCTTTGGGAGAGACTCTTGGACAGCTTTGCTGTATTTTTTTTGTTTTTTTCCTGGCTTCTTTGGATTGCTATATTCTTATATATAATAAATCCTAGATAATAAATCATTCTCTCAAATAATATTTTCTTCTCTTACCAGCTTTTCTTTTACTCCAGACCGTCGTGTATAGTCTTGTAGATTATCGTCCTTTCACTTGGCATATTCAACACAAACCAAACATGAAACCCAAACTATCCAATCTTGATAGGCTCTACACAAATATGATTAAATATATCAAATATTTGTTATTTATAAAAATATAATTATCGTAGATTTAATTGAAAGTGATATAATTTATGAATTGAAAGTTATAAATTTAAAAATATTTTAAATTATAATTCGAATCAAGCTTGAGCTTGAATTGGTAAAAAGTTGTTCAAGCTGAGTTCAGACTCAGCTTGGCTTGATTTCACCCCTAGATTAACAATAGTTCTAGTAGCTCACTAAATCCTACAAATTACCATTTTAGGCTTTTTGTTTTACGTAGTTAATTATCTTATGGTTTAACTCACTCTTGCATCTCCAGAACTATTTAACTGTAATGCATCATGACTTAGATCTTGTTTATATCTATAATATAGTAAAATTCTCAATTTGTTTATCTATGGCAATCGAGCATCCTTTGCTTGACAAATCATTTCCTTTTGTGGCTGTCTATTCAGCACGTGTAACTTTTTTTGTTTTTCAGATGTCACAACAGCAGCAGTTGCGAAAGAAGCTTTAGAGGGCCATTGCATATATGATGGTGGCTATTGTAAGCTTCATCTAACATACTCTCGTCATACCGATCTCAGTGTAAAGGTATAAATTTTTTTTTGAGTTAATATTCATGAGGGGAGAATATGAGAAGAGAGAAGGGGGGGGGGGGGGGGGGGGGATTAAAGATATTCTTACAATAAGTACATTTTCTTGATCAGGAATGATTCTGAAGTGTATGCTTCTCGACACTTGATTGACATTTTATAGTATTTTTTTTAACCTTTTGAGTGATTATCTCTGAATCTGATTTGAGTATTTTATAAATATGATTGTGTTGGTTTTAGGCTTTCAGCGACAGAAGTAGAGACTATACAGTGCCGCATCATAGTGTGCTTGCAGCACAAGTTCCTGCAACAGCTTGGCTGAATCCTCAGGGTGCTCCTATGTATCCAAGTGCCTCTGCATTACAAGCTCAAGTACCCGGAGGACAAGTGCCATCATGGGATCCAACCCAGCACGCAGTTAGACCAAGTTATAATTCTGCACCTAATACTTTTCCTGCTCAAACTCATGCAGTTCCTCCAATTCCTTCATATGCTCCAGCAGCAATACCCGCCGCTGCCACAGCCTCACCTCTTGCTCAAAACAATTCTATAGTTCATAATGCAAGTTCCATGGGTATCACTCAGCCTGGTGTTCCAATGAATGTAAATTTACAACTCAGTGGGGCTTCACCTCCTGTTCCTGGTTCCTCTCCTCTTATGCAAGCCAGCCCAATTGCTGGTGCTTCACCTCCTGGTCTTCAACCTTACTATGGTTAGTAAGTTATCTTTGAGCTGAATAAAAATCCCTTGTACTCTGATAGATTTGTATTCCCCCATTTGAAGTTTTGTAGTGGGATCTTAAAGAATTGTGTCACTTTCAATTTCAATTTCAATTTCAATTTTAATGGCTTTCCTTCTATTACCTACTCTTTCCGAGTATTATCCTTACTATGGTTAGTAAGTGATCTTTGAGCTGAATAAAAATCCCTTGTACTCTGATAGATTTGTATTCCCCCATTTTAAGTTTTGTAGTGGGATCTTAAAGAATTGTGTCAATTTCAATTTCAAATTCAATTTTAATGCCTTTCCTTCTATTACCCACTCTTTCCGAGTATTATCCTTACTCCTTTCATGGCTTTTTTGTGTATTTTTATTTCCTTATTTATACCAACCTTCGTGTGGTACAAATGGCATGCAGCAGTAAATTATTTCCATTTTATTTTGTTTGATTTGGGTGCTTGCTTTCTTCTTTTTTCTTTTTGGTGGCCTTTAATTTGTGTGTAGTTGGTGCTCAGCTAATGTGGATTTGTAGTTTTGAAATTCGAAACCCCATATTTCTGTGATTTTATAATAATTCTTCTAATTTTGATCCGCCTCAAAACATATTTCTGTCAACTACCGTACTAGTTTAAAAAAATGATTAAAATATTTCTCAAGTATTGAAGTCTGGAAAACAGTTTTTATTAGTGTCAGCATCTTGCAATCTCATGGATAATATTCAAACTAAATGATATTAATTTGGAACAAAGAGAAGTGCTGGTGCAATGACAAAAGACGAGTCAGCCAGAGAATTTAACTTTGATTTCCTGTAAAGAGACGAGTGCAGATTTGTTAGGTATAATATTTATAGGAAATAGTTTTCTCATTTTTTTTTTCATACACTCATAATATATGAGTAGGTCTCTTCTTGACTTTTTTGTGTTCTCATCTTTTTGTGGACCCCACTCATGTATTGTGAGTATAATATGAGAATTTTTTTTTATGTAAAATGAGAAAATTAATTTTCAATATTTATACTATCAAAATTTTTACTATCATTTCACTATATTCTAATCACCATTGGATTTAAAAATGGTTTTTCTTTTATCTCTCTTCGTTTAACTTATTTTCTAATCTAATGATGATTAAAGTAATAGTGAAATAATAGTAAAAAAATTGATAGTATGAATATCCTACCTCTTTGTTTAATACATTTAGTACGGGACTAGATTTTACCTTGTGCATTGTTTGAAAATTATAATGATTTTTTTTTTTTATACACAATTTTAAATTATTAGGACTAAATTGATTTTGTGGGGAAATTTTGTAGGCAAGTAGGTCTAAGACTCGGTGTAGGTAGGAAAATTATACATTAAAATGCAGAGATTAAATTGCAACTGCGATCGTAATTTGCCAAGAGTATTGCTTGTTCGAACTAATCCCTGTCTAAACTAAGTAAAATTAATCATTCAAGATAGCTAGTTACGCCTAATGCACTTTTTGTAAGGGTCGATACAAAGGGACAAGTTCATTTTAAAAGGTATTTTCGTATGAAGTATCAGCAATATCTCAATGTCATAGGGGCATATCTTACATGCTAGTTTGAAAATGATGGCAATGGGGAACAATTTGTACTTGCTCATTTTTAATCCATCCACGTTTATTGAAATCCTCGTCTCAAGTAATAAAATGGTAAAGTAGGATTATTGTTCCCAAGAGAATTGATGTATCAAGCACTAACTTATCTTACATGATCAAAGTTGGATCGATTGTATGGGTTTTTGAAAATATGATTTGAATTATAAAACTGAAATTAAAACAACCTACCAACTATCAAAATCAAGAATCAAGAATGCAAACGGATTGAAATCAAATATGCAAAACGAAGCTAGAGTGTCAATTTCCCCAACATCTTCCTAATAAACCTACCCTTTTTTATAACTAATATTCAACTCATGTTATTGACAATTTTTTCAAGATTGATTAAACCCCAATTCATTGGTGATTCAATCATTTTCCCTATTCAAAACCCTAATCCCTTAGTGATCTCCCTTAGGGCAAGCATTAAGAATAAGAATTTAAAGGTCATAAGTTTCACAAGTCTATCCCTAGATCAAGCAAAACTCAACAATTAATCAATCGGAATCAAACACCAACATCTCTATTATCATGCAAGAGTCTAGTTCCAGTGTTCATTCAAGATTGGCCAAATCATAAACAAACTAGTAATTAAAAATAGATTAATTGCATAACATGAAACTAAATATCAAATACAAGAAAGGAATAAAAAACATTAGGAACCCATTAGTTCCATCTAACCCTAACCACAATAAAGAAACTAGCCTAACATGTTCATAGAAACCAAAATAGAATATGAAAAGAAACTAAAAGTTATAGAGAAAACTTAGTGATCAAAGTCCAAGGTGAAATCTTGAATATTTCTTCCTCCTTCTCCTCTCAAAAATTGCTCATCTACCACTCCAAGCCATCCCAAGCTGTGCAAAAATGATTAACAAACCCTAACTTGTGCCTTGTGACACCCCGTTCTAGAACCGGTTTGTTAACATCGCATTATGATATTAAGCGCAGTTACAATCACGTTGGTTCAATTAGAATTTTGGATAAATTTTTCTTTTTGAACAAAGCCGAATTTAAAATGCCCAACTGTGTGATCATAACCATATTACGTTGCGGAACAAAATAAATTAAGCTTAACATCATATTATCATTTGGTTCGAGTTTACTACAAAACTCTCTTCACCTTTTATTAAATTGGAATTCCTTTAGTTACTATATAGTTCTCATCTCACACTAGGTTATAGATCTCTTTGTTAGCTACGCGTGGGTTCAAACCACGCTCAATTTGAAGCTCTGTAGCTCAAGTTATGCTGATTTTACTAAATCATGTGTATGCTGAAAACGGGCTGCGCACTTAAGCGTGTTGAGAGCGCTTAAGCGCCCTCCACGACCCAGTTTTTCGTACGGCATGGCGCTTCAGCGCCCAAAGGCAGAGGAAAATGGGATTTTTAGGCCACCAATGGCGCTTAAGCGCGCTCAAGGCCTCTCTTCTAATACGATGTGGTTCGAGGACGAACCAGGCGGAAGCTGGTGGGCATGTAACATCCCGGGCGCTGACGAGGGCGGGGAGTGATCGCCGGTGCGAAAGGGTATGGTGCGAAAGGGCACAAACAAGGAGCGGCTCCTAGCAGGCTTCTAGGGACGGGGGTACATGAATGAATCGAATCAACACCCAAAAAAGAGGGATTCCAGAGACTGTGCTGGTATGGGGCGGTACAGTTTGTGATAACTTATAAGAATTAATTGGTACTATCTGTACTAACAAGATGCATCTATTTTTCGGTAGCCCGGATCGGAAGAACTTCACAGTTAAGCGTGCTTGACTTGGAGCAATTCTGGGATGGGTGACCTCCTGGGAAGTTTTCCTGAGAAGTGTGCGAAAGTGTGCGAGTGAGGAAAAAGCACACTGAAAAGTCTCGTGTTAGTATGTGGGGATAGTCGTTGATTCTTGAAGCGGTCGGACGTTACATGCCTTTTAAACAAGAAATTCCATGGCCTTTCTTTACAACATGCTCGCTTAAGCGAGCATAAAATAACAAAACAGTGCTTCCGCTAGGTTGCTTGCTGAAGCGAGCATCCTAGCGAGAAAATACAATTGCTCATTGAAGCAAGCAAGCTAGCAAGGAGAAGACTACAATTAATATGTATTTAGGGTTTGCTAGTGAGCTGTAACATGAGAAATATTCATTTTTCTTGAGTCTTGGCTTGAGTTTTTGTCTTCGTTTGGCTTCTTCAATCTATCGTTGATCTGATTTAGCATTTTAAACCCGAAACTAATATATTTTTAACTCAGAATCATGTCCAATCATGAAAACTTCCAAGTCTGTTTCATTTGATAATATACACTAAGTATTTAACTATTTTCAACATTATTTATCATACTTTTGGCATGTGCGTTTGACACTTAACATACAACTACAGCATGAGGCTCATATAATTTAGATGATTCGTTAATGAGTGCAAAACTCGATTAAAATTAACTTTTCCCTTTTAGTAGAGATGGAATATACCTGAACCTGGATCGTTTGATATATGTTCAGATGGAGTATGTATACTTTGACCCTTACCGGTTGATGATGTTAGAACAGTTATACTAGACCATGAGTAAAAATTAAAATTACGTCTTTCCCTTTGATAACAAGTTTGATAACACCAAATTAAAATCATTTCCCGCTGCCTAGTGATACCACTTACCAGCATGACTAAAAATAAAAATTGAATCTTAAAAAAAGAAGTTTGTGTAACAGCAGGTTCTGAAATCTTTTTATCTAACAGTACAGAACCTTCAAATAGACTTTTAATCATTTGTACCATTATAACTCTTGCTCTTAATAAGAAAATGATGAACAATGCAGCTGCACCAAATTACACCCAATTATTGGACTTTTTCCTCTTGAACGAGTTATAATCTGCCAATAATCTGACAGCAAATCCATTATTGATATCCTCCACATAATTTCTGAGAACCTGTTAATCAATTAATCAAAATCTCTTCACAGATTAGTCTAATCAAAATTGAAGTGCAGGCACATGCACTAAACAAAGTACCACATAAGGTGTAGTGTGACTGAAGAAATTCTAACCGAGTATACCAAGTTTTGCATGACAAGTTCAGGAACACATTCGAGTAATGGAGGAAAAACAAGGCTTAAACTAACATCTATCTGATTCTTCATCCAGCTATGCCTTCCCTGCCTTTCCAGGTATAAAGCTCCGCTAGCATTAATGTTGAAATCTAACGGTATGTAATCAGAATGCAGACCTTGAAGCTCCCACCTTGTCTACAAAAGATAAGTGCTTTTAGCTGTGTTTGACCCGAGAGAATCATGATTAATGTAGGATAAGCGAACTAACAGTATTTATGGAGGAGAAAACTGCAAGTGGTCACAGATTGCTATGTACCAATGGCGGAAGCACCTTAGTGCAAGTGTCTGCAAGTGCAGACACAAAGTTGGAAAAATTTATTTTTTCACATTAGATGATTGTTTCAAGTCAAGTAAAAAAGAAAAAAGAAAAGAAAAAAGAAGATTAAAGGAAAAAGATAAAAATATGTCGAACCCAACAAACTCCTATAATTAAAAGCTTACAGCTTAAATCCTAGTCCATTGCGTTGTCTCTCTCTCTCTCTCCTTCTTTTTTTATAAACCTTATTAGCTCTAAATCTTAATAAACATCAACATTCCTGAAATTCAATCTTCATCAAGTGGAGGAGAATCTTACGAGATTTTTGACG